GATCGAATATATGGAGCAGCCAAAATCTCCAATCTCGGATTAATTTTTATTCTGTACACGCAGAAACAATTAAAAACACTGCTGTATCATAGGTAATAGCCAACTCCACAGACTCTGCTTACTGTCTGACCCCACTATTCTTTGTTTGGGTTGCCAGCATCCACAAGGCTTGATAGTGTGGCTTCTGGGAGAGGCGGGGCAAAGACATCCGATGTCTCTAACGTGATGATGTCACTCTTGATGGCGCGTTTCACCAATACTGATCAGTTTCATCAGACCTGCCCACAAACACTGTTCCTATTTAAGTCTATCTCAGGGGAGTGTCCCATAATTCCACCCTCTTTATTGGTCATAGTTCAACACCAACTGAACAGTGAGATTGCAGGGACAAAATCTATACACCAAAAATGCTTGATTAAAGGGAAACTACACCGTGTTCCAAATTATTATGCAAATGATATTTTTCTCATTTACCCAAATAATTGATGTAAATAACAGTCAGCATAATTATCATGTTAGCAACTATTAAGAGTGCGATTCAAATTTTATTGAACAAACCTCCTAATGATAACAGTATTTTTTTTAAACATAAAAAACTTACAATGCACTGTTCCAAATTATTACGCACAGTAAGTTTCAAAACACTTTTTAGGTTGTAAAGAACTGAAAATTGTCATTTGTTGTGTTTGCAGCATATTTACTGAAATTAGGTTCCCATGACCATGATGCTTTTTAACCAGTTCTCCTTCCTTGCACCACTTTTGCAGGTACTAACCACTGCATACTAGGAACACACCACAAGATTTGTTGATTTGGAGGTGGACCCAGTTGTCTAACCATCACCATTGGGTCCTTGTCAAAATCACTCAGATCTTTTTGCTGGACCATTTTTTAAAACATTTTTTTTTGCTTCCAACACATGAAACTGAAGAAGTGACCTTCACTCGTTGCCTATTGTACCCCTTGACAGGTGCCATTGTAACAATATAATCAATGTTATTCACTTCAACTGTGGCCAGTGGTTTTAATGTTGTAGCTGATCAGTGTATATCAGTATATGCTAGTATAAATATAATTCAATATAAAAAATCAAGTAATCATCAAAAACCTGCATGTTTTCTGTCATGTATAGTGTTCTATATTTGTATTAAAAGAAAAACGTTTTATGTTTTAAGAATGTAGTACTCAATATACATAGAATAGTTATGTGCTCCATAATTCACAGAAATGTTAAATATGCAGTCTCTGGCTATTTGGTCCATTTACAACTACAAATAGTATAACACTCCAAACCTTATCTCATTTCACAAGGACAGAGTATTTTTTTTTTTTGTGAGTCAATCTTAAAAACCCATCCTAGGAGCATTTGAATAACATAACAAATAACAAAGTGTCATCTCCTTTTATCAGACACTATTCTATATATTAGAATTGTAATCCCATCTCATTATGTTTCAAGATATAGGGAAAATCTGTATTCCTTTTAGAGGTGTTGTGGATATGTCCACCATACACACTTATTATATTTGACTTGAACTTTAAACCAGCTATTATATGTTATACTCCATTTCATATACGATGTGATATACTGATATATGTTAGGATTATCCACTTCAGCTACATAACCCTCTTAGTGGAAAGGGCTGTGTAATATATTCATGCATATCTCACTTATCTGGTATTCAGAGGATATATAGTAACACTCAATCTACAATAATCACATTGTGGAGTACCTGTAAAATATTAACTCATCACTATAATGAACTCACCATACAGGAAATTTGTCTTCCAGACTCAGTCTCCATAACATTTGCCATCTTTATTAAACAGTTCCCCATGGAGTTTAATCACTAAAGTATTTCTCATGGCACAATTTATTGTTTCTAGAAGTATTACAGTATAGAGCAGGGCAGACAACCTTCTGCACTCCACATGTTATGGACTACAACTCCCACAATGCTCTTACCGTCATATTGTTGGCAAAGGATCAGGAGTGCCAACGCTTGCCTAGCACTGCCATGTGAAATACACATGATGACTGTGTTGGGGTTTTCAATTATGCAAAAAAATATCATAAGTATCATTAAAACTCAAGGTCCCAGAGAGTGACAAACTAAATTCATGGAAAGAAGAGATTTTATACTTTTCTGCCACATAAATATTATCATAGTATTCATATTATTATAGTATTTACTCAGTAGAGTCCCTATTTAATTTGTATCTACCTGCGTCAGCACAGAGACCATGTATGAGAATACCAGAATTTAGAGATCATTTCTCATCTTTATCCATCTTCAGCAAACTAGACCACAGTGAGGGCTACTATTAAGTCAGAGAAGACCATGAATGGAAACTGGCCTTCAAATCTAGTTATTGCCACCTTGATAATTGGGGATTACCTTGGGCAATCTTTAATATTCATGTTGAGAGGTTCCTCTGTATTCATCTCATATGTATATTTTCAAGAGCAATACGACTGGATTGTGGACAATTATATTAATTTACCTAAATTGATGCAGCTAGCTAACATTAGTCTTCCTGGGAGTCAAATGTTTGAATGTAAAACTTTAAAGGAATGCAATCTTTTCATCCTATGCACCTAAAGTTTGAATTAACCCCTTAAGGACGGAGACAAATGTACACGTTGTGAACAAAACAAAATGTAAACAAAACCTGGCATTTGCGCTACATGTCTGTCCAACTGTAATTCACCTCTTTCATATTAAATACACCCACCCTTATTATATATCATTTTATTCAGGGGAAACAGGACTTTCATTTAGTATCAAATATTTAGCTATGAAACGTAATTTAATATGAAAAAATGGGAGAAAATAAGATTTATTTTAATTTTTTTAGTTCTACATGACATTTTAACGGTCAATGTCATAATACTGTTTGCTTTTACTGCAATAAAATACACATATTTGTATTCAGCAAAGTCTCACGTGTAAAACAGTACCCCCTATGTACAGGTTTTATGGCGTTTTGGGAAGTTACAGGGTCAAATATAGCACGTTACATTTGAAATTGAAATTCGCCAGATTGGTTAAGTTGCCTTTGGGACTTTATAGTAGCCCAGGAAAGAAATTTACACCCATAATGGCATATCATTTGCAATAGTAGACAACCCAAGGTATTGCAAATGGGGTATGCCCAGTCTATTTTAGTAGCTATTTGGTCACAAATCTGGCGAATTTTAATGTGAAAAAAATGATACACAAGCCTTTTATTTGACGCTGTAACTTTTGAAAACACCATGAAACCTGTACATCAGGGGTACTGTTGTACTCAGGAGACTTTGCTGAACACAAATATTTGTGTTTGAAAACAGTAAAAGGTATCGCAGCAATAATATCGTCCGTGTAAGTGCTGTTTGTGCGTGAAAAATGCAAAAAACTTCACTTTTACTGGCGATATCATCGTTGTAATACATATTACTGTTTTGAAACACTAATATTTGTGTTCAGTTAAGTCTCCCGAGTAGAACAGTACCCCCCATGTACAGGTTTTATGGTGTCTAGGAAAGTTATAGGGTTAAATATAGTGCTAGCAAATTAAATTCCCTTTACTTTCGGCATGGGTTGTCAGGCAGGTCCCGCTAATTGTAATTAATTAAGATACCTAATTATGGGGGCGTGGCTCGACCGCCGAACGAGTTGGCAGCTTAGGCAGAGAGCTCTGCACCCGGAGCGGTCCGCAAAGCACAGCCAGACGCACACACCCGACCACAGCCTCTGCAACTCACCCGGCAAGAGAGAGGGAGCGAACCGGAGATGGCACATAAAAAAAAAAACGGTAAGAAGCCGCGGGAGAGCACCCCTTCAGTTGCCGACCTCCTCACCACACCTAGGCCGCAAGCGCCTAAAGATGGCGGCGGCCAGGAGAGCGCGAACTACCCGAGCCCACAGAGCGCCAGTGACTGGTCCGCCCTGTCACAGCAGGCTAACACCTCGGATATCCTGCACTCACTGGCAGAAGTCAAACACTACCTTGCAGGGGAGATAGAGAGATCAGCCCGCGAAGTAAAGGCAGAGATACAAACAGTGGGGCAGCGCACAGAGGCACTCGAATGGAGAATGGACCACGTGGTGACAGCCCATAATGAAGCAGCCTCAGCCACCAACACCCTAATGGCAAAAGTGGCAGAGCTAGAGGCAGAAATCGAAGATGCATCCAATAGGTCACGCAGAAACAATTTGAGAATTAAGGGCTTGCCTGAAAGGATTAAAGATACAGACCTACAGATGGTACTAACTGCTCTATTTAAAGAACAACTGCCAGCTATACCGGAAAACTTGTGGGTTATCGACAGGGCACACAGGGCGTTGAGAGCCCGTGGACCCCCCAACGGGCCACCGAGAGACGTAATTATGCGGTGGCATTTTTTCTCCACCAAGGAGGCTATACTCAAAAGTGCCAGACACCACACCTATGCCATAGATGGCGCTACATTACA